TAGGAAGAAAACTATAACCACACTAAACAAAAATGGCAATAAATAAGTACATATCAATAATCACCTTAAATGTAAATGGATTAAATGCTCCAATCAAAAGATGCAGAGTAGCTGATTGGATAAGAAAGCATGATTCATATATTTGTTGTTTATAAGAGACCCACCTCACAACAAAAGACTCTCATAGGTTGAAAGTGAAGGGATGAAAAAAAGTCTTCCAAGCAAACAGAAAGGAAAGAGCTAGGGTAGCAATACTCATATCGGATAAAATAGACTTCAAAATGAAGGCCATATATAGAAACAAAGAAGGCCACTACATAATATTGAAAGGATCTAGCCAATAGGAAGATATAACCTTGGTAAACATATCTGCACTCAATATAGGATCACCAAAAATTTTTTAAAAACTTCTGGAGGACTACAAAGAAGAAACTGACAGCAATACAATCATAGCAGGGGACTTCAACACCCCACTGACATCACTGGATAGATCCTCTAGACAAAAAATTAGCAAGGAAACAGAGACTCTAAATGAAGCACTAAACCAAATGGATTTAATAGATATGTACAGAGAATTATACCCCCAAACTGCAGAATTCACATTCTTCTCAAGTGCACATGGAACATTCTTAAAGATAGACCACATGTTAGGACACAAACTAAGTTTCTACAGGTTCAAAAAGACTGAAATCATATCAAGCATCTTCTCAGATCACAATGGCATGAAATTAGAAATCAATTACAACAAATACGCAAAAACGTTTGAACACATAGAGGCTAAATAGCATGTTATTAAACAATGAATGGGTTACCGAGAAGATCAAGGAAGAAATTAAAACCTTCCTGGAAACCATTGAAAATGAACACACAACAACACAAAATCTATGGGATGCAGCGAAAGCAGTCCTGAGAGGAAAGTTCATAGCACCACAGGCCTACCTCAGGAAACAAAAATTTATAATAGACTATCTTACCTCACAACTTAAAGAACTAGAAAGCAAACAAGTAAAACTCAGAGTGCCTGCGGTCCAGAGAGACCCACGTTTGGTTCCCGCTAAGGGCACGTACCTCGGTTGCAGTTTGTCCCCAGCCTTGTTTGGTTGTGAGGGTGGCAGCCACTCGATGTGTCCCTTTCACGTCGATGTTTCTCTCTCTCTCCCTCCCACTCTACCCGAACAAAAAATGGAAAAATGTCCTTGAGTGAGGATAAAAAAAAAAAAAGTAAAACCCAGAGCAAGAAGAAGGAAAGAAATAGTAAAGATCAGAGCAGAAATAAATGACAGCAGAGACTAAAAGAACAATTCAAAAGATCAATGAAACAAAGAGCTGGTTCTTTGAAAAGATAAACAAGATTGATGAACCCTTAGCCAGACTCACCAAGAAACAAAGAGAGAGGACCCAAATAAATAAAATCAGAAACAAAAGAGGAGAAGTAACAACAGACACCACAGAAATACAAATACTGCCAACAAATTGGACAATCTAGGCAAAATGGACATATTTCTAGAAACACATAGTCTCCCAAAACTGAACAGGGAAGAGATAGAAAACTTGAACAGACCAATAACAACTAAGGAAATTGAAGAACCTCCATGCCCTGGCCATTGTGGCTCAGTGGTTAGAGTGTCAGCCCACGGACCAGAGAGTCCCAGGTTTGGTTCCTGCTAAGAGCATGTACCTTGGTTGCAGTTTGTCCCTAGCCCCAGTTGGTTGGGGTCGTGTGGGTGGTGACCAGTCGATGTGTCTCTCTCACATCGATGTTTCTCTCTCTCTCTTCCTCCCTCTCTCCCTTGCACTCTATCTGAAGATGGATGCAAAAAAAAAAAAACCACAAGAATCTCCAGCAAACAAATGCCTGGGCCCGGACGGATTCACAGGGGAGTTTTACCAAACATTCAAAGAAGAACTAACACCCATTCTCCTCAAATTATTCCAAAAAATTCAAGAAGAAGGAAGACTTCCAAACTCGTTTTATGAGGCCAGCATAATTCTAATTCCAAAATCAGATAAAGACACTACAAAGAAAAAAAACTATAGGCCAATATCCCTAATGAATATAGATGCCCAAATCCTTAACAAAATATTAGCATATCGAATCCAGTAATACATTAAAAAAATTATTCACCATGACCAAGTGGGATTCATCCCAGGGATGCAAGGCTGGTACAATATTTGCAAATCAATAAATGTGATACACCACATAAACCATATGATCATATCAATAGACATTGAGTCCTGGCTGGTTTGGGTCAGTGGTTAGAATGTCAGCCTGAGAACCAAAGAGTCCCAGGTTTGATTCTGGCTAGGGGCATGTACCTTGGTTACAGTTCATCCCCGGTCCCGGTTGGGGTCGTTCAGGTAGCAAGCAATTGATGTGTCTCTGTCACATCGATGTTTGCCCCCCCCCATCCCTCCCACTCTGTCTGAAGATATATATAAAAATATCCTCAGGTAAGGATTAAAAAAAAAAATGCTGAAAAAGCATTAGACAAAATCCAGCACCCATTTCTAATAAAAATGTTCAGCAATGTGGGAATGGAGGAATATATCTTGACATAATAAAGGCCATATATAAAAAATCTACAGCCAACATCATACTCAATGGGCAAAAACTAAAAGCATTACTTTTAAGAATAGGAACAAGACAGAGGTGCCCACTTTTTACCACTTTTATTTAATATAGTATTGGAAGTCTTAGCCACAGCAATTAGACAAGAAGAAAATATAAAAGGGACCCAAATTGGAAAGAAGGAACTGAAACTGTCATTATTTGCAGATGACATGATATTGTACATAGAAAACGCTAAAGACTCCATCAAAAATCTACTAGATTTAATAAATGAATTTGGCAAGGTAGCAGGAAACAAAATTAACATAAAAAAGTCGACAGCATTCTTATATACCAATAATGAACTCACAGAAAGAGAAACTAAAAACACAATCCCGTTTACCATTGCGGCAAATAAATTAAGATACCTAGGAATAAACTTAACCAAAGAAGTAAAGGACCTATTTGCAGAAAACTACAGGACACTGAAAAAAGAAATAGAGGAAGATATAAGAAAGTGGAAGCACATACCTTGTTCATGGATTGGAACATCATTAAAATGTCCATACTACCCAAAGCAATCTATAGATTCAATGCAATCCTCATTAAAATACCAACGACATATTTCACAGACCTAGAACAAATACTTCAAAAGTTCATATGGAACCAAAAAAGACCCCGAATAGCCACAGCAATCTTAAAAATGAAGGACAAAGTAGAAGGGATCATAGTACCAGATATCAGTTATACTACAAAGCCACTGTAATCAAAACAGCCTGGTACTGGCACAAGAACAGGCATATAGATCAATGGAACAGAACAGAGAACCGGGAAATTGACCCAAGACTTTATGCTCAATTGATATTTGACAAAGGAGGCAAGAGCATACAATGGAGTAAAGACAGCCTCTTTAATATATGGTGATGGAAAAATTGGACAGCTACATGCAAAAAAAAGAAAAAGAAAGAAACTAGACCACCACCAACTTACAGCATACACAAGAATAAATTCAAAATGGATAAAAGACTTAAATGTGACTCGTGAATCCATAAAAATCCCTGAAGAAAATGTAAGCAACAAAATTTTAGACATCACATGCAGCAGAATTTTCATTGATACAATGCCTAAGGCAAGAGAAACAAAGAAAAAAATTAATACATGGCACTATATCAAACTAAAGAGCTTCTGCACAGCAAAAGAAACAACCATTAAAATGGAAAGGGAACCCATTATATGAGAGAGCATGATTGCCAACAATACATCAGATAAGGGGTTAATTTCCAAAATATATAGAGTACTCATACAACTCAACAAAAGGAAGACAAAGAACCCAGATAAAAAATGGGCAGAGGACCTAAAGAGACACCTCTCCAAACAGGACATACAAATGGCCAAGAAACATATACGAACATGCTCAACGTCACTAATCATCAGAGAGATGCAAATTAAAATGACTATAAATTATCACCTCACACCTTCTAGAATGGTTGCCATCAGGAAATCATCAAACAACAAGTGCTGGTGAGGGTGTGGAGAAAAGGGGACTCTAGTACACTGCTGGTAGGAATGCAGACTGGTGCATTCACTATGGAAATCAATATGGTGTTTTCTCGAAAAATTAAAAATCGAACTGCCATTTGACTCAGTGATCCCACTTCTAGGAATATATCCTAAGAAGCTGGAAACACCAATCAGAAAGAATATACGTACCCCTATGTTCATAGCAGCACTATTTACAACTGCTAAGACCTGGAAACAGCCCAAATGTCCATAAATAGATGAGTGGATAAAAAAGCTGGTACATATACACAATGGAATACTATGCAGCTGTAAGAAAGAAAGATCTCTTACCCTTTGAGATGACACGGAGGGACCTTGAGAGTATTATGCTAAGCGAAATAAGCCAATCAGAGAAAGACAAATACGACATGATCTCACTTATTTGTGGAATATAATGAACAAAAAAAGCTGATGAACAAAACAGACCCAGAGACATAGAAAGGAGTATGGTTCAGACTGACAAACTTCAGAGGAGGGGGGTGGGAGAGGGGAGGGATGAGATAAACCAAAGAACTTATAAGCATGTATGCCTAACCAATGGACATAGACAATGCTTGGGGTGGGGGTGGGGTAGCCGGATAGGAAGGAGGGTGTTTTGGGGGGATAAAGGAGAAACATCTGTAACAAAAATAAATTCATTAATAAAAAAATTGAAGAAAGAAAACTAAAAAACACTGGTATTATCACAAATATATTTAAAAAAACAACAACACTGGGGCAACTGGGAGACTCTGAATATAGACTTGATTAAATAAAAATTTAAAAATATAGTGATATGTAAAGGTGAAGATAATGTTAACTAAAAAGAGATTATAAAATAATAGCTACAGGCCAGGCCATGCTCCCAGCACCACACTCTGCTCAGGTTGGGCACATGTCTCCCGTGCCCACTATGGTCACCATTCAGGAGCTGGTAGGAAGATTGCGCTTAGTGAAGAACAAAGGCTTCCACAAGTACTTGAGGGAACTAGAAGTGGGAATGGCTCTGTGGAAAATGGGTGCCATGGCCAAACCAGACTGTGTCATCACTTCTGATGGTAAAAACTTTACCATAAAAACTGAGAGCACATTGAAAATGACACAGTTCTCCTATAACCTGAGAGAGAAATTTAAAGAAACTATAGCTGATGGCAGAAAAACTCAGACCATCTGCAACTTTATAAATAGCACACTGGTTCTACATCAGGAATGGGATGGGAAGGAAACCACAATAAGGAGAAGATTGGGAGGTGGGAAATTAGTAATGGAATGTGACATGAACAATGTCACCTGTACTCAGGTCTATGAAAAAGTAGAGTAATAATTCCATCATCCTTCGACAGGAATTAGCCGTGAGGATAAACAAGCTCAGTTCAATGAACAAATCTCTCCATGTTTTTTTTTCATCACTGTGTTCCATTATCTTTATCACAAACATTTTCCATGCAACTTTTTCTGAGTGTTGGTTTAATTAGGATCAACCCTTTGGTTAATAAAAAATTTATGCTAAAAAAAAATAGCGTGTACAATTTGCTTTCATTTTATTTTATTATTATTATTTTTTTAACCCTCGCCCTAGGATATGTTACCATTTATCTTCAGATAGAGTGGGAGGGAAGGAGCGAGGGGGGGATAGGGGGGGAGAGAGGGGGAGAGAGAGAGAGAGAGAGAGAGAGAGAGAGAGAGAGAGAGAGATGTGAGAGACACATTGACGAGTTGCCTCCCGAATGACGCCAACCAGGGCTGGGGACGAACCGCAACTGAGGTACATGCCCTTGACCAGAATCAAACTTCAGTCTGCTGACCGATGCTCTAACCACTGAGCAAACCCGGCCAGGGCCAATTTAATAAAATGTGTTCATATACGTAGAGAAAAAAATCTGGAAAAATATACAATAAGATGTTATCAGTGGCATACTTTGGGTGGTACAAATATGGAGTAAATATGGTAATACAAAAAAATGTGCCCTGGCCAAGTTGCTCAGTTGGTTGGAGTGTCGTCCCATGTGCCAAAAGTTTATAGAGGTTGATTCCGGTCAGGGCACATACCTAGACTGCAGGTTCAATTCCTGGTCAGAGTGCATATGGGAGGCAACCAATCGATGTTTCTCTTTCTCTTTCTCTTTCTCTCTGCCCCTTACTCTCTCTAAACATATCCTCAGGTGAGAATTTACCTTTTTTGTTTGTTTGTTTGTTTGTTTTATCCTCACCCGAGGACATTTTGGCATTTTTATCTTGAGACACAGAGGGCGGGAGAGAGGGAAGAAGAGAGAGAGAGAAACATGGAAGCGAGAGAGACACACGAAGTGACCGCCACCCACACAACCCCAACCAGGGCCAGGGACAAACCGCAACCGAGGCATGTGCCCTCAGCAGGAACTGAACCCATGCTTCTCTGGTCTGCTGGCCGAGGCTCCAACCACTAAGCCAAACCGGCCAGGGCCTCAGGTGAGGATTTGAAAAAGTCCGGCCAGTGTGGCTCAGTTGGAGCATCGTCCCATGAACATACCCGGGTTTTGAGTTTGATCTCCAGTCGTGCAATCAATTGATGTTTGTTTCTTACATTGCTGTTTTTCTCTCTCTCCCCATCTCCCCATCTCCTTTCCTCTCTCTCTAAAATGAATAAAAAATATATTTTTTAGCCCAGCTGGGTGGCTCACCGATTGAGTGTTGACCCACGCACTAAGAGGTTGCCAGTTCGATTCCCCGTCAGCGCACATGCCCAGGTTGCAGGCCCAAACCCCCGTGGGGGACATGCAGGAGGCGGTCAATTGATGTTCTCTCTCATCGATGTTTCTGTCTCTCTCTCTCCCCCTCTCCCTTCCTCTCTAAAATTAATAAAAGAAAAAATATTTAAAAATTTTTTTAAAGTATGCTTATATTTTTTAACTGCTTTGTAATAATAAAAGATTATTTTAATTTTAAAAGTCATAGAGGAAAAAAATAATAAAGGGAAAAATATTTCTTGGAGAAAACTGTCATTTAAAAGAATGTTTTGGGACTTCCGGTCAAGATGGCTTAGGTAAGCATGGTATTGCGTCCTCCCACAACCACATCAAAATTACAACTAAACTACAGAACAACCATCATTCAAAACTGCCTGAAATCAAACTGAATGGAAGTTCTACAACTACGGAATTAAAGAAGCAGCCACATCCAGACTGGTAGGAGGGGCGGAGGCGCAACGGGCTGGTCCCACACCCACGTGTGGCGGATAAAAATCAGGAGGACACCTCGGCTGGGAAGGTCCTCCATGAGGAATGAGGTGTCCCCGTCCCACACCAGGCACCTTGCTCAGGGTTCCAGTGCCAGGTAGAGAAGTCCCCATAACTTCTGGCTGGAAGAGCCAGTGGGAACTGAGGCTCAGGGAGGCTGAAGCGGCTGGAGCCCCAGGCAGCTCCTTAAAGGGCCCGTGCACGAACTTATTGGACTCCCTCCCTCTAAGCTTGGAGGGGAGGCAGCTTGAGGGGCACCAGAGACATACAGGGAAGAACTGAGCTGTTTGGCATCGGAGCAAAGGCTGGAGAGGGGGCTTTCTCCAGGACAAATGTTCTGTCAGAGGCCTTTGTTCCTTTGGTGAACCCTTCCCTGGGGCAGCAGACAGCCACCATATCTGGGACTCCAGCAACCTGGCTCACACTGGTTGCCCCGCCCCACCCAACTTTCAGGCCCACCCAACTGTTGGCACTTGCTTAACCATAGGATTGGCCTGTCTTGGATCCTGCTTCAGGTTTTTCTAAATTCTTTCAAACAAGCAGCATCTGGTCTCAGCTAGCCCCATATCTCTCATTAAGCAATACATAGAAACAAACACAGGGAGGCAGCCAAAATGAGGAGACAAAGAAACAGGTCCCAAATGAAAGAACATAACAAAACTCCAGGAAAAGAACTAAGTGAAATGGAGATAAGCAACCTAACAGATGCTGAGTTCAAAACACTGCTTATAAGGATGCTCAATGAACTTAGTGAGGGCTTCAAGAGCATAAAAACAGACCAGTCAGAAATGAAAAATGCACAGTCAGAAACGAAGGAGGCACTAACAGAAATAAAGAATAATTTACACAGACTCAATAGTAGAGTAGGTAAAGCCAAGAAGCAAGCCATCGATTTGGAATACAAGGAAGCAAAAAACTCCCAATCAGAACAGCAAAAAGAAAAAAGAATCCAAAAAATGAGGATAGTGTAAGGAGCCTCTGGGACAACTTCAAGCATGTGAACATTCACATCTTGGAGGTGCCAGAAGAAGAGAGAGAACAAGAAACTGAAAACCTACTTGAAACAATAATGGCAGTAAAATTCCCTAACTTGGTGAAGGAAACAGATATACAAGTCCAGGAAGCACAGAGAGTCCTAAACAAGATAAACCTCAAGAGGCCCATCATCATCAAAACGCGAAAGGTTCAAGACAAAGAGACAATCTTAAAAGCAGCAAGAGAAAAGCAGTTAGTTACCTACAAGGGAGTTCCCATAAGACTGTCAGCTGATTTCTCAAAAGAAACTTTGTAGGCCAGAAGGGAGTGGCAAGAAATATTCAGAATGATGAAAAGCAAGAACCTACAACCAAGATTACTCTATCCTGCAAAGCTGTCATTTAGAATCGATGGCCATATAAAGAGTTTCCCAGCCCTGGTCGATTTGGCTCAGCAGTTGGAGCGTTGGTCTGTGGTCCAGAGAGACCCGGATTTGGTTCCCGCTAAGGGCACGTACCTTGGTTGCAGTTTGTCCCCGGCCCTGGTTGGGTCGTGTGGGTGGCAGCCACTCGACATGTCCCTTTCACGTCGATGTTTCTCTCTCTCTCTCTCTCTCCCTCCCACTCTCTCTGAACAAAATATCAAAAAATGTCCTCAGGTGAGGATTAAAAAAAAAAGTTTCCCAGACAAGGAAAAGCTAGAGTTCATCATCACCAAACCATTAGTATATGAAATGTTGACGGGTCTTTTTGAAGAAAAAGATAAAAATATGAACAAACAAAATGGCAATGAATACATATCAACAACTAAATCTACAAACAAAATGAACAAGCAGAACAGAAACTCTCATAGATACAGAGAACATTTTGTTGATTGCCAGATGGGAGGGGGTTGAGGGAATGGGTGAAAAAGGTGAAGGGATTAACCAATGGACACAGGCAACAATGTGGGAAAAGGCAGTAGGGATTCAATGAGGGGAAAATGAGGAACATCTGTAATACATTCAACAATAAAGATAAAATAAATAAATAAGATAATAATGAAAAAAAGAATGTTTTGGAAAGGAGAAATTATCTCTCAATTTAACTGTTTAATAAAATGGATTTTCATAGGATGGGGCACATGCTGGATTGGGGCAGTGCCTTAAAGTTTGCTATATCAGCACATAACCTATAATCACATATTTTCTGATCCAAAATATGCAACAATTCATATGATAGTAAAGATAAATATTAGTTTAGTTTTATTTAAATACCAGGTAACTCCTGGAAGTCAAGAGCTCTGAGAGTACTCACCATTCCCATAAGCCCAGTCATCATTCATGCGGTGGCGTACTTTTTGGTAAATGGCTGACATGGTTTTCATGTTGCTTTTCCTCCACTGCCGTCCCAGGTACTTGGTCTGTATTTTTAGCAGCTTTAAGACATAAAGTTGCAGCATGGCCTGTTTGACCTTGAGGGCCCGCTTTAAGATTGGAGCAGATTTAAACACCACCAGCATCTGCTCATTTAAAAAGAGGTGAGAGTGAAGAAAAACATAAAAATCTTAAGTTATTTGGAATTTCCAACTCATAGACAAATGAAGCTAAACCTGGCTGATCTCAGATTACCCTGGGGAGCTTTTGAAAATCTATGGTCCAGGCTCCACTTAGATTTAGTCTTCAAGAACCACGTAGAGGAACACTCTGTTTATATTTCACAATTAAAAGTTTCTAATATTCAAAGTGCATAATATAAAGTGCAAAAATATTTTGTTAGCTACACATCTCATTTCCACTGTTAGTTTCTTGTCTATCTTCTGCAGATAATTCTCAGTGGCATTTATTAGTTTATTAACAAAAATTATAATCAACTACATATCCTGTCATACTGTTCTATATGTTGTTTTTAAAAAACAATGTATCTTGAAAATTATTTTACATCGGTATAAAACAGTCTCATTCTTTTTAATCGTTGTAAAATATTCTATTATAAGGATGCACCATAAGTTATTTAACCAGTTGGTCCTGTATTAATCAGCATTTAGGTTATTTCCAATCTTTCATAATTACAAAAAATGCTGCAATGAATAATCTTAGACCTGCATCATTTGGGATTTGTAACTATAATCCAAATAACAATGCTAACTTCCC